GGCCAATCTTGGGTCCATACCTGATGCCAAATCAGCTGAGAGCCTTGGCGACTCCGCCGGAACCGAAGCGGCTCGGCGAGGAGTTGGCCTCTTCAGCAAGATCTTGGCTTCTCTCTCCTTTTCTTCATACTGTTCTTTCAGCCTCTTCATCTCGGCCTGTTGTTCCAAGATGGCATCATTGGCTGCTTTGCCTTTGGCTTCGGCCTCTTCGATGGCCTTCTGGATTGTCTCAGACTTCTTCTCATACAGCTCGCGATTGGACTGCATGGTCTCTTGGATTGCTTGGTTCATGACTGCAATTCCAGCAGCTGCAATTCCAGGACGACCTTTTCCAGCTCCTGGCTTCTTTGGCATAGCCTTGACTTCAGTCTCAGCTTTTGCCTTGGCTGCTCCACGAGAAATTGCGGCAGGTGCTGCTTTCTCCATCTCGATGGCAAAGAGGGTGGCGATGTCAGCGGAATACTCAGGCTCGGGTTGATGCTCTTGAGCCATAGAGGTTTCAGATTCCTCAACTGAAGCTACCTTCTTACTTTTACTCTTGCCTTTACCTTTAGAGTCTTTGCCTTTGCCACCTTTGCCTTTACCCTTGGAGTTTTGGTTGTACCAACTACTCTTGCTCCAATCATTCTTATACCAATCGTTCTTGTTCCATGAGTTGTTCCATGACGAGGGATTGGACCACGAAGAACCTTTTCCCTTCTGTTTACCTTTGTCGTTTCCCTTGCCTCCATCTTGACTCTTTCCTTTTCCTTTGCCGCCTTTTGAGCCACCTTTGCCTTTTCCTTTGGCTTTAGCCAGACTTGCAAGTGAAGCTTGCATCTGGCTGGCAGCTGCGGCTAGTGCGTCAACATCCATTGGTGCTGATCCAGTCTTTGCTTCTTTTCGGCTCTCGATGTTCTCGAGGTAGGCCAAAATCTCTGACTTCATGATGGCATAGTCAGTGAGTCTCGAACTCTGGAGGTCAAGGTGATCTTGAAGTTTGGCTGGACACATCTGCTGAAGACAACTTCTTGCGATGTCATCATCAAGAGCTTTCTTCTTCCGCTCTTCATACTTTCGCCTGATGTTTTCCCAGGCTTCTATGCTCTCTCTGAGCTTGTCCAATGCACACTGTTGTGGGTGCAGGACCTTCTTCAGCAAAGCTGAGTTTGCTTGTGGGTTCTGTGGATCATACTTGGTGATCAATCGTCTCAATGCTTCTAGGCCAAAGTGTTGACCTCTGGAGGTATTCTTGACAATCTCGAGGGCTTCTCCCTCACATAGTGAGATCAGAGCCTGTCGGGCCTGAGCTGAAACAAGCTCGGCTCCTTCAGGATAATCATCTTCCAGAGATGTCTCATTGATCTCTGTGTCTTGATGCTCTTCGAGGAGCTGAATGCACTTTCCTGCATTCTTGTGACTTGTCTCAATCCAAGTCTTGAACTTGAAGTACCATGAATCCCAGGTACCTGTGTGTCCACTGAACTTGTCAGGCTTTGGAATGCCTTTCAATTCTGATCTGTCTCTCACTTCTACGCTGGTGGCTATGTTCCTTGTGATTGCCGTTTGTTGTGTGTATGCTTCTGCCATTGCTCGTTGCAATTGGCTCTGCCCCTGTGCTAGGGCTTGCATCATCTGTGCAAATTGTTGTGCCATGTCTGTGGCTTGTGGTGCCTGTGCTCCTGGCTGTTGCGCCATGCTGACTTGCTAGCCAGGGATTGAAGCAATCCGGCTTTCCTGCAAGTGATGCTTGTTTTGTGGATCTCTGGTGCCAGAGCCGATGCGGCTCGGCGACCTTCGATTCGCAGACGGTAGCCGGGTCTTAGAACCGCGGCTCCGCTACCATGAACGGAGAATTTAGGCTCTTAAACTCTGTGACCCCAAGTCACTGTCCCAAAGGTTGGAGTAGAAGCTTAGGCCCACTTTTAGCTCAAACACGCGTGAGCTCTGGTATCGAAATGAACACAAAAGTAAACCACAAACGGCTGCAGTGAAACATACATCTATACAAGCTATGTCATGTACATGTAACTGGTGCTACATCTGATCACAAACACCAGCATGAAAAATACAACTCGTGGAAAGCTGTGAGCTTTGACAGGTTCCTGGACCAAGCCGGCCCCCGTCCGTGTTCCAAACCTTTGTTTGGAAAGGCGCTTTCCATCTGCAAACCGAAATGGCAGTCTTGTCTCTGGGCACGCAATGATTTGCCCACTGCCCTCCAAAAAAAACAAACAAACTGCAAACCTCAACCACAAGTAGCGTACTGTACAAATAGTTCGTGCCAGTTTGAGTGTAAATGTTGAACACATCTTTGATGTGCTTGTCTTTGGATTTTAAGCAGGCTTTTCGGTTTATCTAAGTATAGATGTGTTCAATCTAATTTGGAGAAAAAAACACTCCAACCTGTCCAAACTTGCTGTTGGAGCAGTGACCCACCTCCCCTTCCCTCCCAGAAAGCTGCCCTCCTCAGGCTTCAAATCACTCCGCCTCAGTGTTTCACTGGAGGCCCGTAGCCTGTGTGGTGAGGCCCGTTCGTTGAGTGGTGAGGTCCTCCCAAAAAAACGTGCCTTTCATTACGAGGTTTTTTCATCCCAATTACGTGAATCAAGTGGGATGCGTCTTGGACAGGTCACTTGTGGCCATATAGGCGACCACATCATCCCCGCATTGGCTTACTGCCTGTACTACGGATCAGTTTCTCTATGCTTCAGCTACCTCAAAATCCGTTTGAACATGGTACACATGAGTGCAGGATGATGGTCTGGTGGCGGATGTCTGTCACGTTGATCGTTGGGATGCACATCGCGATTAGTGAGAAGTTACTCATGCAACTCACTTGTTCAACACATGTCACACTCCATCGAAGAAAGGCTTCCTGAGTGCTTCTGCCATCTACTCTCAACCTACGGCATGATGATGAGAGCTGGCGCCAGCTCGCACCCTCTTTCAGGATCTTCGAGACATGCCTGACACAAGCACAAGTCCAAGTCCAGCCGACCCCAGGGCCGGGCCCAGTCATGCAGCTAAAGTTCTTCTTATATTCCAAATCGCCGATGGCACGGCTCAAGTTCAGGTTCCCATTGACGCGGGCGCCGCCTGCACTCTCCTGCCGAAACCAGTGCGTCTGTTCAACGCAAGTGGTCAGGGAAAAGCCGCTGAGCCAATATCTCAGATTAACCGATGAACCCACTGCGGTTCCCTCAGTTGAATGGATAAAGTTGTCAGCGAATATCTCCGATCACAATAGATGGGAACAGCGTCTCTCTCTCTCTCTCTCACTCACCGTCTTTAGACCGTGATCTACCCCAGCTTTGCTGAGGGAAACTTGGAGCAGGCAGCCTTAGTCTCCTTGAGCTGTTATCATTCCTAAGTTTGATACCGTTCGTTCTCAACATCCGTTCAGTCTCCTACCAGCAAATTTGGCCACTGTTCTCAAACAATCTCAAGCTAACCAGTCGCTGAACAATGCGCTTCACCGACATGCTGGAAGCTCATTACCTAAATAATACTAAATATGTTTACCTATATTAGTGTATATATACATGTTTTACATATTAGGTGCAAAAGGAGCATGGCCCCAAAAAGCAAGAGAGCCACACTTGCGGAATTTTGGAGGAATAGATCTACTTGCTGGATGACAACACCGGTATAGTAGCAACGCAGCTTTAATTCCAACTTAATGGTTTCCGGTTGCTCCTCCAGATATCCCCCGGCTGCTTCAATCCGCGTCTTCTCAGTTTCGGAGGCTGGCCTGAGAAAGCATTTTTTTTTGCTTTACCAGCGGTCTGGCTGACGTACCGATGATCCGCAGCAAGCTATCCAAAGGGTGTCCGGACGCCGATAGTAAGAGTATGATGTGGGCATGAAAAATCTTTAATGAGAGTCTTGTAAAAGAAAAGGTCTGCGTCCTTGAGCATTCCTAAGTTTTCATTTGATCATTTTATGCCTATGTAGGCTATGCATGCTTCTGTGACTACACCATCCATTTAGCCTGGCACCTCAAAACCCTGTGGAATTAGAATTGCTTTTTGGTGACCACCCTGAAACGATTGCATTCCTTACTGGCTGAAGTTTTGTGTTCTTCCATACCAGTTCTTACAATCTCTGATGGCCAACTATTCGCCTACACATGAGAACATGACCCCTTCTAGCTTTGACAACCTCAACGAGCTCAGTGCTTTCGGGATTCAAAGCCCCACTACATTTCCCACGGCCTCCCACGGGTGTAGCTGCAGCCTGCAGCCCTCATGGACTCTTCCTTTGGTCCTCCAAGCTGCTTGTGATCATAGGAGAGCTCCACGGCCTGACCTTTTCGGCACATCACAGCTCGACTGTCTCCAGCATTGGCTGTGATGACATCCTGCCCAAGGCGCGCCAACAAGGGCAATCAACATCTGCACATGACACTCTGACCTGGGTTGGGCCCAAAGGTGAAATTTGCAGTAAGCAAGCACTGCTCACACACCGGATGAGAGACTGGTCATTTGAGTCAATCGACACTTCCTTGCTTCAGTTGGACCCTCCTGCGAAATCGAAATAAGTGAGCTGCTTCATGATTCCAAGTTTGAGGCCTGCGCCTTTGGATAGAAGCAAAAAACCTGTTCGCCATTCTGGTGGGAAGAGACCCTCACGTCACCGGTTCGCACTACCTAACAAACACACACAAATTAACCCCGTAGACTGTAGACTGACCCTGAGAATCCACCCGTGGAAAACAATTTTCCTCTACAACCCGGTGGTATTGTGGGTTCAAGTTAATCAGCGTCTTTCAAAGGAAACGATCCTTCAGGCTTCCCCTCTTCAGCAAGTTAAGCAACGGTGAAGTACTGCAGGGGCCCCACAGCCATCCACACCCAAAACCTCATCCAAACAATGTAAATTCAAAATGATCGATCTTGGAAGAAATCCTTGATACATAAAAAAACTCCAACACACAGGTTACGGACAAAATTAACCTCAAATGAGATCAGAAACAAAATGCTGGTGCCGAGCCCACCGGCGCGGCTCGACGTCTCTTTTTCACTCTGCCGAGCTTATGAGTGTGCGAAGTCGTCCGTGGTCAGCAAGTGCCCTGGAGCCAACAAGACCACAGTGGGTCAGGCAAGAAGCTGCCGGTCTTCTGCGCAGCCAATACCCAACAGATCAGATGTGCAACAATACCTGTCAACTACCAGGTGGTCATCCGGGAGAAAAGCGAGTTGACTCATTTTCGAGCGACGTTGACGGCCAGGTCAGCCAGGCCAGCAGCAGCCAACTGCTCCAGTGCCACCAAAAGCTGGGGCGAAGAGGAGCTGGGGCAGGTCCTTGGCACCAGGTCGGCATCGGTTGCGAATGGATGCGACACCGGATGGGAAAGGACTGCGGATAGTTCGGCTACTAACCACACGGATGTTACACCTCCTTTTTTTGTGATCTTTTGTGTGATGCTTGGATGTCGTGGACACTGAAACGATCAACTGCATAAAGATTGCCCTCAGTGGCCGTTCAGGATCTTTGAGACTTCATCTGTGCCCAAGAAAGAAGGTTGGTCGCAAAAATAAATTGGCGAACACTACTACATAGCAACGCCTCCGACTGGCCATCATTTAAGATGAGGATCTCTTTGAACAACCACCTCAACTGACATGACCGAACCCTACATCACCGTACCTTCCTACACTGCCAGTTACCTCTAAGAAGGGTAGGGGTTAGAGGACGTTCCTCTTACCTCACAGTCTCACAATACCATTTCACATGTTTTCACTTCAGCGTCTCTCCCAGCGTGCTGCACACGCCCTGCCAACTCAGGACATCTGGGCGAAGCTCTTCGGCGCTGGAGGTGCCTTGGTTGGTTTAGAGGAGCACCGCCTACTTCGCCATGCTCAGCCCTAACAAGCTACCTCTTTTGCATGGTCATCTCGTCTTTCTTGCCAGGCTGCGTAAGAGCTCAAGAGCTTGTGGCCAGCTAGAGTGGTCCAACAAGGCCAAAGCACTGTTCAGAGTGGTCAAATCCAGCTGCAATGCTCCTGCACGTTCCAAACATGTCCAGACCGGCGTGAGGCGGCATTGTTCAATGAGGTTGACGAGTACATTCACTATCTTTTGCTGACTCAGCCCTTCAATGTCTCCAATCTGTCCATACTTCTACCCTTTCTGACTGTGGGTGGAAATCGTAAAATGATCAAACACAAACAATGGACTATATTATATTTTGCCTGTGCTATTACACGTTTGGATCAGGATTTTTTTGCTCAATATGAGTTGAGGTGGCTTAGAAAAGCCTAGAACCTTGTGCCATGGATTTCTAGGGTAGGATCTCTTGTCTCAAAAAACAAATCTGCATAGATATGAACATGTATATATATATATACATACAATATATATATATATATATGCAAAATGAAAAAATGTGCATATATATATATTATAATCAATTACATATATGCGTGCATTCTCCAGGATTGGTTCCCCCAGTCACCCACTGAGCTTCCGCCTTGAGAGACCTGCCGGAAGAGCATGAGACCCGCAGGCCAGGTGGCCCACGACAGGGCGGCTGCTAGGACATACACCGTCTGAGCGGCACCTCAACGGGTGACGCGGTGCACGGCGGGTTCCAGGAGAAGGACCCCCATGTGGACAGCAACTCACGACATGTCCAAAAGAATGCCACATTTGAGTGTCCAACATCCCCCCGTCATACCAACGTTGGTAGCCTTGTGATGACCATCTTCCACCGTCTGTATGCTTGTGCCGAGACTTCGCAGGGGCATGCCTCCTTGACTTGGATGGGGTTGGGGGTTCTAGTGCTGTGGGGGCCCTTTTGTGATTCATTGTGACCCTACTCCCACTGCCAAACAAAGAGAGTCTCAAAGAGGGAGTTCTCTGCATTCCAAAAGGCTAGCCAATCTGAGGAATCATGTGCCCTCCACATCCATGCTCAGCATGCTCCACTCGCCAACCCACAGCTTAACACCCTGCCTTCCAACAGCTGTAGCCCTCGTGTCCATCCACCAGCTGCCACGCATGCCGCCCGTGCCGGTGCCTGCGCCTCCGCGCTGTACACCACGCGGGCAGCGCTGGCCTCCTGGAGCAGTTGCTGGGCGCAATGCCACTGGGCTGCGTTGGCACAGCGGGTAACAGCCGCGTTGAGTTGGATGGTCGTGATAGGTGAAGAGTCCTGAGACGCTGAGAAGAGCCATGGCGCCTACATCGTTGATAGATGATGTTGGGAATTCATCCGCAGCTCACACTGGTACCTGCAGCTTGTGGTTAGTGGCTGGGAACTTTGAACTGCGTCCTCCATGTGGGGTTGGACCCTGCTGAGCGAATTTTGCATGCTTCCCACTTCTCTACCACTAATCTTTTTGGACTTCCACTTCACCGGCACAATTATGAAACACAATATGTTGAGCGAACAGCGACACCTGTTGAAAGGACACGATTGTTAAAGTAATTCTTGATTGTCATAACTCGCTTGATCACACAATAAAGTTCAACTGAATATTGCCGTACTGGCGTGGGCTTTCGTCATCAGTCTGGGAGTTTTTCCAAAAAAGAAAAGCAAATGATTCCCCGTCCAGGCGCTTGTTCTTCCAATAAAGGTATGTCACAAACAAATTGAAGTTGAAGTGATTTTCTGAAGGCCCTGGGGTTCCACATTGCCGGGCTAGAGCACTTGTGTGAGTGGCTTAAAACCGAAACAGGCTTCAACAAGATGCCCTAGAGTTGCGTCCGAAGAATTGAAACATATTGAAACGGAACGCGGGTCTTAATCATTGCTAGGCCATTATGGGCACATATGTCCACTCAGGCGTCTGGACATGGACTAGGCTGTGTGGACGCCTACCCTGTCCGCACCACCTGTTGGGCCAGCTGGAGACTGGTGGAGAGGTTGTCAGCCAGCCTAGTGTTTCATGTTCTTATTTGTTCTAGCCAAGGCCCTATAAAAGTATGGCCACAAATCGCAAGGCATGTTTGGACATCAGGTCTCCAAGGTTTGCAGATTTGGTTGATAGAGCCAATTGGGACTATGATGCACTCTGCGACCCGAAGCACCAGCAGTCCCAAGTGTCCACAGCGACTTGCCACGACCGATAGGCGCGAGCGAGCGCCGGCGCTGCCAGCTGTGAGAGGCCTTCAGCACAGGCAGAGGCGCGCCGCCAGGGCGTAGAGGAGAGGATGCTGGTGGCCACCACTGAGTTCACCTCGGTCAGGGGCCCCGGATGACCCTGGTGGGTGCACCAATGGCCGGTGTCCCAGTTAATTCGAGAGGACGAAGAAGAATGTCGAGGACAAGCTGAGGTTGCCTGGCCCTGACCCTTTTCTGTTGTCTACAGCCTACCTACCGTTGCCTACCTACCTATATGTCCACCTATCTCTATCTCTATCTCTATCTATCTGCTCATTCCATCTACGCATACATGAATATGTAGACATACTGTACCTGAATACTACATCATTATGAATTACATTTACAATAATATATATATATATATGTTCATGCATCTGGACAGTCAGGACGACTCAAGTTTCCTAAGCTATATGCCTATATATGTTTTAATACTGCAAGTATAATACCGTATAGATCAAAAATCACAATAATGGTCTTTTAACGGTATTTTACTGTACTGTATTTTATGTGCAGTTCTCCAGGTTGTCCCACCTACACACCTTTCTTTGCGTCCCGTCACCACGGTTGTTTTCATCTCACTGCGGACCAGCTGCTCGCAAGGAACGGCTCCTAGGACACCGACCAACGTAGAAGTGGACCGTGCACCCATAAGGAAACAGGAAGAAAAGCATAGCACATGAGCACATGCAACCACCTGACCATCTGTGTTCTCATCTTGCGTTGTTGCCCATTCCAGCCCTTTGCGTTGTGAACTGCTTCGGTTGGACCTAACGACCCACAGCTTCGGTGGAACGGCTCCTGAGCTCGGCGACCAGGCCTTCCGCACGCGGCCAGGCGTGACCGAGGCCACAGGCCGAGATCGCCACTGCGTCGCTGAGGAGGTCGCGCTGCAGGCGTGCCCTGGTGAGCTCTTGCAGTAAAATCCTGGGCTCATCCGGACGATGATCTAATCTGAAAGCGAAATATATGGCCAATACTTTTGGCCAATCTACAGGTCGAGTGCTTGAAGTGACCTCTTCTTGGGGGCTTCCTAACATGATGCAACCAGAAGTGTCCAGAAGTTGGCCTATATATTATAGGTTTTGTTTGCAAATCTTAGCGGAAGCCGCGGCAAGCCACTTGAGGTGCCCAACCTTTATGCATATTTTGCAGTGCCATGCACGGTCCTGGGGCCAAGCCACAAGCCATCCCTGCCAAGTCTCAAAACCGCTGTCCACTTCGACCTTCGTTCCAGGGACACCGCACTGCTGCTGTAGGACACCACGTCTCGCACGTCCCGCGTGGAGCTGCGCAGCCCCAACAGGCGCAAGAGCGCCAAGGAGGACCTCTTGGAATGTGGAGAAGTCTGAAGAGTCCAGCGTGGAGAAGTCTGACTCAAGGAGTGGAGCAATGAACCCAGTGCTAAATACAACAGAAACCCCCTCGGACATCGATTCAGCATTGTTTTTAGCACTAGTTTGTGTTTTAGTGCAGCATTGTTATATAGCGCAACCAGGAAATGACGTGGAATTACAACTCTCCGCCATACTCATGCTACTCCTGGGAAGTAGGTTGCCTGTATAGTTGCTGCACGTGGTTTTCTCACAAACTTAAACTGCTGTGATCCACACAAAAAAATGTGGAATTTTACCCCTGCAAGCGACCTGATTCAAACCCTCCTTTTTTGGAGATGACTGTAACAATTTTCTAGCAAAAATCATAGAGCCATCGTCCTCTGAAGAACTAGAACAATAAAATCGGTAGCGAAAAACTAATTGCCTTCCAAACCAAGAGTCCTCTGGGGGAGGGGTTTCTTCACCTGCAGCCCCAGGCAAAAATACATCGACCAGGTTCACCTGTGTAGGTGCCCCAGAAAACACCATATCAAAGGAAGCACCTCCAAACAAGTGCTAAGGGGTGCCCGCTCTCGGCGTCACGGAGAAAACGGTAAAACAAGGAACGTTTATGATGCTTATGTCTTTACATGTTTTTGACGCTTTAACTGCGGAGATAAACGGCATGTTGAGTAAAAGCTGATGTTTTAACACAATCGATGGTTACGTTTTTCTGCGCTTTTAGATGTATTTCGACACGCTTAGATTGATGCTTGCAAGAGCTGAGTCAGTGAAGGTAGCCCACTCTAGTGATTACAATACCGGTTTAGAGCGCTGCCTGAAACCTGAGAAACAGCCCTGTGAGGGAACGGAAAGGCGGCAGGGTCAGAAATAATATTTGTTTACATCATCGATCTGCAGGCACACTCGGGGACGTCTCCCAGTGCTTCCCATCTCGCTGCCTAGCTTTGTTAGACCAGGTCAGCAGCGAGATGCCTGGTCCCCCTGCCTTTAAAAGAGTATGAGTGGTTTTGAATTATATATCTTGCAATGTGTGAAAGCCTTAGAAACAGGCGTTGACACACACACACACACACACCAAAAACAAGAGAATTGAACTCTTACAGTTTGGTGCCCGGCACGTGTCCTTCAAACAGATCCATTGCTTCTAGTGAACACCGCCTTTCGAACAAAAAGCGAAAAAAAACATCCCAAAAATAGCAATATGTCCAGTTTGGATTTTGGGCTTCGACAAGAAGCCAACATGTCCATGTTGGATGTTTGCTGTTTACTCATGCGATAAACACAATACTACCCCTTCACAACACATGCGGTAAACATCTCGAGCTGTGAAATAGGTAAGCCGGCAAACCAGTGCTTATTCCTTGGGATTTCTACCGTTTTGACCGTACAGCTTTGAAGGTCTACAGCTTTTACCTGGAAACAATGAACAAAGTAACATGGATTGATCTTTTTAAACAGCTTGGACCACGCTTTTGGCAAACAATCATTGGCCGACACCTGCGCAAAACGGAAACAACACGTATTTTAAAGTCTTCACCGCGCCTTTACTACAAAAATTTGGCCAACAACACGGACACAAGGGTCTAAAAGTTAAAAACATCGATGTTGACCTTTTTTGCCAGGCGTGTGGTCAAAAAGAAAATTAGGCGACAAACCAAGGCCAAACGGTAAAACATGTTTAGCGTTTCTACCGCGGAAGTGCCTCGGGGGAACCCCGTGGCCCGAGCAATGCCGCTAAACCCGAATGAAAAATAGATTATATATGAAGGTTAGAATGTGTACAACAAAAAGGGTATAGGTGTTCCAAAGTGAGTCCATGGTTTACAGGTATAAATGGTAGGTGTTGCAAAAAGATACAAGAAGGTCAGTTATAGTAGAAAACAATAAGCTACTAGGAACAAGTGCATCGCTTCTAGTAACAAGTGCCTTACTAGCTATTAGTAACAAGAAGCTATTAGAAGCTATTAGAATTCAAATTAGCAAACCTGAACTGTCTCTGCCCCCACCTCCAGGCCGAGCTCGAGGCAGAATGGGCCGCCAGTGCCGCGTTGGCCGTGCAAATGGGCAACTCAAGGCCACCGAAGAGCCTCAGTGTCCAAAAGCCTCCGAGATTGTAAAATGGCTTGTCCGATCATGTTCGAACCAAGCCCTTCACATGTGGCACAGTCAGTGGGGCAAGTTGGATAGGAAATGATAGGAAAGCATATGAAAGCTTTCTTAAGTGTTTCATCCGTCCTTTAGACCATTTTGATCATTTTGGTCCGACCTATGGTATACAAAAAATAGAATAGCTTTTTGTTACTACTAGTAAGGCACCTGTTACTACAGTAAGGCACCTGTTACTACTAGCGTGGCACTTGTTACTACTAGCGAACCTTGTTATTAATGGTATACCAAAAACCTCCAAAGAACGGTCTCAAACAGGCCATGCGGTCCCGGAGCCACAGCGCATTGAGCGCCTCCGCCCAGCGGTGCCGGAGCCGTGCCAGCAGCGCGGTGATCTCCTGGGTGCGTGGCGACACAGTGGACGTTCGGCGTTCTCAGTGCTTTGTCCGCGCGATAGTGACGAATAACAGAGGTGCGAAGGGGCGAAGGGGTCTCAGTTTGACCCTTGAAACGCCAGTTTTCCCCATTGGCTTGTATGATTACACATGCATACATTCACCAACCAAACCATACAGCATAAACTAGAAGGCAACGTTCAGTCAAAACGTGGAGGATCAGGGTCTCCATGGGTCTCCAAATGTCTGAACTCTGCAGCCTTGGCACCTTAGGTTCGGGCTCCCGGTGTGGGAAATAAGAGCGGACGCTGACGGGCGCGGCAGGCGCGGCGTGGGCGCTCTGCTGCGCGTAAACCCGCGCAGCTGCCATGGGGTGCCCATGGCTGCCATGAGTAGGTCGGGAGAACCTCAAGCTCCAACACTAAGCAAACCAATGACTACGGTTGAGTGGTTACATGACCTGGTGATGAAACATGATGAAACAATTCTAGAGTTATCCGTGCTCACGCCTGCCATTGGTGAGCCAATGTTCGGGGTGCGAGTATGGGGTGATGCTCTTAAGTTCAGCCTCTAATCAACGTCGACGGACCAACATAGACCAAAGTCCTTCCTGCTGCTGTGCTTGATTTCATGTGGTCACTTATACTTCCATTTGATCATCGGCGCCATGCGGCCTTGCCAGTCTTGGGGGGAAGCAATTCGTGAATTCATCGATCCTTCATACGAACTGGAGCAATACAAATGTAGATCTTAGATGTACATGGATTTATTTGGGTAGTGTGTGACGCATTACACATTTGAAGGGGGTTGAGCTAGAACATCTTATATGGTCACTTGGTCACTCGCTGCTGTCCATTTGTTGAACGTATGCTAGGTGCAAAAACTGGTTTCACTGCGGAACATTGCGGTTCTAGGCCGTGCGCGCTCACGCGCCAATGGTCAGAGCCCAGGCCTGCTTCCGCACCAGGACGCAAACCGCTGTGCAGCCCACGGTGTCGGGTACGAACTCCTCCTTTCGGCATAAGGATGGATGATTCTTGTCGAGAAATGGGAGCGAGATCACAACTCTCGACAAGGCTTTCGCAGCTTATTCTTTATTCTTTGGTGGGTTGCAAACAGGTCATTTTCCTTCTGAGGCCAGGTGGTTTGGGCGACAAATCCTGAGGGCATCACGTCGGAATTACAAGGTATGCGGATTGAACCAAAGACTGACAAGGGATGCTTGGTCTTATTGCACTCTCAATGGGAGCTTGTTGTAGCTTGCTCCTAGAGTTGGAAAAACGCTGGGCACTGCGAAAAACTTCTTCCCAATTGGATTTGAGGCCTTCCCTCCGAACAAAAGCATCTCGGTATCTGAAGTTCAGTTCCAGTGCTCCATTCGATTCGCATCTTTCCGAATTGCCTCTTTGCAATTCGAAAGGCTTTTGAGGTTTTTGTTTTTTGGTGCCTATAGGGCCTATAGTCTTCCAGGATCAGCCCATCAACATCAAAAGGCTTTCATGACTTCTGAACCCCACACTTGCCTGCACACAAACTAACAGCCACAGCCAGCAACCACCTGGAATACGCGAATCCTGTTGACCTATCCGTTCGCACGTCGCATCCATCCAAGTCACTCCCTTTTGTGCCTCTTTCAACCTAACATCGTCGGGGGCGAAAACCACAAACCACAGGGCGCAGCTGTCTAGAGCACCGGACGAGACGAGCGAAGGTGTTGTACTTCGTGGTGCCGAGTGGTTCAAACAGAGCCTTCACAGCAACAAAACGGCAACAACAACAACAATAACTACAACTACAACAACTACTACTACTACTGCTGCTGCTACTACTACTCCTGCTGCTACTACTACTACTACTCGTGGCGATTCTTTTCTCCCGCTCGAGTGGGAGACAGGGGCACTTTGACGTTCCAACAGCAAACTAACAAAAGGATCAAATAGCCAGTAGCAGAGTCTGTTGCCTTTTACGTACTGCCTATATATAGGAGTCACCGGGCTTGCGCGTGTCTCCAACTAGGGAGCGCAAGGGTGGAATGACATGTCACCTAACACGGCGGCCAAACCCGGAGCCCTAAACCCAAGTAGGTTGGACCTCCCTGGTAGTCCATTCTGTTCCTTTTCCGTGGTCTACCAAGGTTTCCAGGTCGAATCCTTTCAAGTTGTGAGGCAAGCCTAACTAGTGTTGGAAGGGACGATGATTGACACTCTACTCCAAGACCTTCTCTCAATCGTCTGGTGGAACAAGCCCAAATTGTTCAAAATGGTTGAACACATGGCCTGTCGTGGTGCCACTTGCAGTTTCCTTGAGCCTCAACTTGAGCGCAAACAGCCCTGAAAATAATAGCCAACCTGAAAGAACCTAATGCCAGCTGTCCTGGGCCTAACCCTGGAGCAATCATGCAAGTGCTTTCCTTGATGTTGAGTCCCTCTCTGCAGCCCCAGGCCACCACCAGCGTGTGCTGGCCCATTCAATATATACAAAGAAACTTCTGAAGCTTCACGCAAATATCCTTCATCTCACTCTGATCCTCAAGCCGGATCAAAGATCAGGGCTGCTGATCTGGATGCAGCACACCAGGATCCACTTCTATCAAACTGAGATCAACACTACCAAGAAAGCAACAAATGATAGCTATAGTGGCAACCACAACCAAACAATAGACTCAATAGACCGTAGCAACCGTAGCAAGCAGCAAACGAACTTGCAAAGAAAAAAACAAAATAACTATTATTACTAATACCGTGTAAAAAAAACTATATAACTCCTTCAGGTTAATATGGCTAATCATTCCTTATATAATTCCTTCTAATTGATGTCCCTGGAACATGCTGATGAAAGGCTGTCCTCTTGACTCTAGACCCTACGAGACCCTACGAAGTGATCAGAACTGGGAGAGCGTAGTGTCTTAGTGGCTACGTCACACGAAATGGGAGCGTCCAGCAATCATGTCCTTCATGTCTCCAAGGTTTGAAAACTGACCCACGTCCTTCTTGCCCCATCAGATTATTTGATCCACCAGGTGTTCATGCTCTGAAAGTAGACGCCTCCCTCCAGCTTAAAGTAGATGGCGAAAGGAGGAGGCTCACAAACACCTCCGCTGTCTTGCTCTACCCAACTTGTGCCGGCAAGGCTCAATCCATCTCTGTATCCAGAACGGATGGAGAAAAACATATTTTTCGACACACGAGACCGTGAACCACGCCTGCTGCAGATTTCCGGCACTTCTTGGAAATGGATAACACCCCAAAAGAAAGTGGACCCCCACCAAAAACGCTGGGGTACATACGTGGTTCTCGTTCTGTCTGATTGTCCTGGGGAAATCCTCGACATGTCCATGTTGATTTCAATTCTGTTGCTCATGTTCAGTTCCAGGAATAACCCCCGTGGTTACCGTATCTGTCATATTCAGTCAGGAACCCGTGGATAGGCCAACGCATTTTAACACCAACCAGGCCCTGGTGACTCACCAAGGTGTACCACGCATCCCTAGCAGCCACGTGTTGGCAGCCACGTGTCCGCTGCGGTGGCGGTACCCTTCCTGGGCGACCAGCTCAGTCTTTTCCAGTGATTGCTTGTGTCTACAACACCCCATATCACGTGATTGAAAACACACCTTTCATTTACCAACAAGAACATCTGGACCAGTGTCCTGAGTTTGAATGGGTCTTTGGGTGAGAGAGTCGTCTTTGCGTTCCGTGCTCATGTCCCAAAGAGCAAATACACAATTTCTCAAGCACTAGCATCAACAATTACATGACACCGGACCTAGAAATTTGGTCCAGCTGACCTCTGAAAAGGTAACCGCCTTTCATCTACCTTGGCCTTTGTCACTTCAATTCACAAGCCGAAAGAATGCCTATCTGCTGCCTTTCTTATTGGCACTGAACAAACTTGTCTTGGGGAGCCATCCCCGTGGATTCATCTGAAGGCCATGCTCAATGCCCAGAGTACGAGATTCTTAGAGTGTCCAAATTCAACCAACACCTTGTTGGCCGGTATTGGGGGTTATTCATCTGGTGTCTATAGTTACACTGTCTTATATGTGTGCATGTGGATATGTGACTGATTGATATACAATTGAAGTATCATGAACATTAACATAAATCCGGTCCTGATATATTTGTTTGGGGGGTGCGCATGGCTACATATCTAATGCCTATATATAAAATACAAATATAACTTAATGAAGTTACTCTACAGGCCCTTGATGGCCCTTGCCTAGTGAATACGCCTCTCTCAGAACTTTTGCCGGAAAGGTCGGTTGGGACAGATTTCTTGACACCCGTGCCTTCAAACGAGTGAACTAGGAAAGTCGTGCGATGGCTCCAGGCCAGGGACTGCGACTTCTGCGACATTTCTGAGAGCTGCTTTTGCAAATCCTGCACGTGGGCCGTTGCCGTCAGCATGCCAATCGGAGATGTGAACCCAAATAAAAGCAGTTTTGGAGACGGAAACGGTTGCTGAAAGCAATAAACTCTAAGCAATTCCTGCTATCTCCTCTTACTGCTTGCCACAGGTTTCTTCAAGCCCTTGCTGTTAGTGCGTCATATCTCACTGTAGAGCAGGGTGAAGCAAACCACTCAGTGGCTCCAACATATATAGGTGGACACATGTGGACACCATTTAACGACCAAAGGACAATAAATCAAACAAATCAACTAGGTTGGTTCTAGGAACACCTGGAGTTCTCCTATATCTTGTGTCCTCTTTCCATGTTCAATGGCACCAGCGGTGCTTGGGCAGAACGGAACGGTCTCCCCCATGTCCGTTTCAGACCTCCCAAATGCACAAGTAGGGCCCGCCACCCCTCCTCAATGGCGCCAGCTGGCACCTTCCCAACATTCCGCGCCAGTTCCTGGAAGAGCTGGTGATAGCTGGTGTCCCGTTCAGCTCAGGCTCAGCCCAATGTTAGTCATTCGGTCGAAGAATCTGTAGGGGAGTGCCACAGGGCTAGACTTCGAGTTGCATCTACTGTTACCCTGCTGACCCCCCAAAAAACAAACGCATGCCGCATATCTATACGTGACTGTACTGATTTAAGTAGAGCGATCCGCCCTTAAATCCATGATATCAGCCCCATCTGCAGGAACTTCACATGAAGTTCTGAGGACCCTCACATGATCTCACATGGTTGAAGTTCAAGCCGCCACGCGTAGATTGACACACTTAAGACTGCCTCCTTCAAGCCACGTGATGCAGTTCAATTAGAGGGGGTTCCAAAGGGTTCCACCGTTGGCACAGCCGGTCCTCTTCAGCATGTTTTTTCAGGCAAGTTTCAGCTTCCATGAGCTTCAATTCGAGTGCTTCCATTGAGGTTTGTACTCTCGGAGATGCCTTTCCCATTCAATAGGTAGATGTTTGGGCCAAACGGCCTATTTGTCTTACTAATCGATGATTATATAATGATTAATGGCCGCGACAGTAAAA